GATCCCAAAATAGGGGTCTTGACTCCAACAAAAAAGTCTGAAATCTTGCAGGAAAGATCACTGCCCCTGAAAATGGAGCATCAAGAAGAAAAGTTTGGAAACTCCTGAGCTAAGGGCTTTTTCTCCAAGAATCTGACAACTTTCCTTCTCAACTGAAAGCTGTTTTGCGACACAAATCCTATATCGAGGTACTGGCCTTTGTAACTCTATATTCCTCTGCAGTATAAGGAGCAGCAGGACAAACACAAGCTCCTGTAGCAGTGACCTGGATTATCAGGCAGGTCTGTGATTAGACCTGCACAGAAAATGGAATTTTGTCTACAGGGAAACGACACTGTACAACACTTCCCAAGCAAAAGCACTCCGACTGTATATTCCTGTCCTCCTCTTTGTCTTTAAGAGGTTACAACAGGCACTACTGACTGGGGACCAATTACAGGGGCCAGTCCAGGCACCAGTCCTTAGATATTTCCTCTGTGCATGTCTCACATTTAGCTGTATGGCATTGAGGCAGACTGGACTTGGAAGGTAAATCACAAAATTAAGAGCAGAACACCAGAACATTTTTCATGACCTTTCTAATGAAGATATTCGGGTCTCAAAATGTTACTAGCTGAAAGGACACTCAGGCCTTTTCCTTTCTAACAGCTCTGTGGTGGGAATATGAATGACTCTGCACCACCACATAAAAGACATAAATATGAAAGGGAGAGAAAAATGGCTCAGGTCAGTCCAAATGCATCTCATTAAGGGAGAAATAACACCAAGAAAAACAAAATTAAGGGTTGGGGTGAAGGACTGTGTAGCTGAGAGTGTGACATCCCATATATAATTCTCTCCAAGAAAATGCAACATGCCTCATCTCACGTCTTTGCATGCGGAAAACATGCAAAACAACTGCAAGATTAGATGCCTGCCATCATATCTTCTTGTATATGTGCATACCTCCTAGCGAAAAGAGCCACTGATTTGTGAGGCTACTTCCCTTTCTGTGGTTTTCTGAACCTCTGCTGATTTCCTCTTGGGGAGCTTTTAGATGGTGTCCTTACTAAAATGGAGGCTCAGCGTTCCCCTGGACCCTCACATGGTTAAGCATCTAGCCACTGCTACAATGGGAAACGCCTTTTACAATTCAATTTGATCTTTCTCAAGGATTACTAGAAGCACCTATTCTCACTGTAGCAAAATGTTAGGTTGCAATAAATGATTTCACCATAAGAGGTTTTAACTGTCATAGGCATCAAAATGGCTTTGCAATGGTTATGAGTAGATTTAACTCAGGAGTTTGACAGTCCCATGTGCTCAACAGCATACTGAATGATTCAGTAATGATAGTGTACATATCTCCCCAGGGGACCCCAGTGTGAAGATGCACAGACACTTAGAGCTTACAGCCCCATCCCCAGAAACAACGAGGCATCTCACTCCCTTGGCTGCATACGGGCAGGGAACCAGCTTTTCTTTCAGATCACACTTAGCATCAGTGAGTGAAGGAACCAGGGATGATTACACCTCACTTCTGGAGGTATGTGACAAGTCTCCCCCCCTTCCTTCACCTCACGTTGCATTAGCTGTCTGCAAGGGGATTTTTATGCCATTTGCAAAACTGTGGCAGTAGAGATAAGCAGCAAGGTGTGGCAGGAAACATTATCAGGGGAAGAGATACACAGCCCACAGCTGATACCAGACTAGGGTGCAAACTACCTGTTTTATGCCTGTGTTGCAAAAGGCAACACTTCCTACAGCACAGGACCTGTAAGCTGGGGTGCTGGAATGGGTCCAGAAAAGAAAGGAAGGATTTTCCAGCACACCACCACACTTCACATGATGCCTGGGGCATGGAAAAGGAAACCACCTTGCTCTATTTAAGATAAAAGCTTATGTTGAAACAGGGTTACTTCAAGCTTGGTATATGGAGCAGGTGCATACATTTGGCTGGCTTTCTTGGTGAGTGCAGCATTCACAACTGGAGACAGATTTTTTCAAAAGAGCTGATATCTCATTTGGGCAACAAACCTAGTGTCCAGGTTTTCAAAATAGAGCTCCTCGTGCTGGGAGTGAGCATGTTTTAAAAACAGGACCTGTAATGACAGTCACTAGAAGTCTTACAAGTCAGCACTACAGGTGCTCAGCATCTGTGGAGGTAGCAGCATGTGTTAAACACTCCTGAGTGGATACCTCAAAATTCCTCTTGCCCTCTCTGGGGCACAGGGCAAATTCCCAGCCACTTAAATGACTTCAACTATTCAAGCCCACCGATACACAGACAAATATTTCTATGTTTTAGAAGCTAAAATGCAATTAAGATGCTTTCTAGGTAGACCTGAGAAGTATAGTGAGAAGTTTTTTGGAGGAGGTTTTGGAAGCAAATATTTAAACTACAAATTTCTCATAGAAATTTGATTTCTTCAAATAGATTTCAAAGAGATCTTTCACTTAGCAGCAGAACATAATTTTATTCTGCATATGGACCTGTGACCAATCCTTCTGTCCTTCCCAAATGCCTCCCTACAATTGCTAACACAGGGAAATCTGAAGTGCTCCAGCTGCCAGATGAATCATATACATGCTGTACACAAGCCATGCAACACAATTCCACTTCTGAGATTGTGATAAATATGGTTTCACAAGTAGTTCTTCTGATATGGCTTACAGAAACCATAGCAAACATAGGGAACATACACACCAGACATCAAGGTAAGAGATGCCTGAGAAAGTGTGTGTGCAATTAACTTTCCTCTCGCTGAGGATATGGCCAGTGAAAGAACTCTGACAAACGCAGGGCTGATATATTTCAGAAGACAACACGAATGTGAATAATGAAAAACCATTTCACAAGCTTCTAAAACTAAAATGGCCAGCTCCTGTAAAAATGCTAGAGGAAGAAACAGGTAAGTGTGGGCCCAGGAAAGTCAGCTCTAAAACAAAGGAGGTTCCAAACTCAGTTTTAATGATTCTTCACAAAAGGAGATTTCAGAGAAACCATACCATGTCTGTTCTGAAAGATTATTTCTTCAAGGTGAGGTCTGGTTTGAGTACAAAGTGCCAAAAACATTTCCACCAGTGACAGCTAAAACTACAGACAGATGCGAAATACAGCTGCGTTTTTTTAGTAACTATGTTTCCAATTTTATAATAGGGAACACAAAACTTTTCCTTAATCAGTACAAAATAAGTTTCTTTCCTAGGAAACCAGTTTAGTTTTCAAAGCAGGCTCTGTTACAGCTGACAAGTACTTTAAACCGTGAACACCTTAAAGGAGTGAACTTAAAATAAACCAGCCATACAGGTGAACACACTGTATGCCTGCAAGCCATGACAAGAGAGTAATCCCAGACATGCATCCTACTAGATTGCAACAGTCAGTGTGACACCGGACACTGCCTTCAGAATGACTGTACCTGCAACTGGCCCTACTAGGGCTCTCCTGACAATATGCAGATTTCTCCTGGGCAACTCCCAAGTGCAGAAAAAAGTCCTGTTTTTCATGCCTTTCTAATTATTTCCAGTCACTATCAACGTTTCGTGCTTCATGTCGTCTTCCACCAAAAAAATCCCAGGATTTTTGGCAAAAACTGTTGCGTCAGTGAGAGGGTTCCCCATAAATTCAAAAAGACCTTGATAAAAGCATTTGTTAATGATTCCAAAAACTTGTAAGGACTGTGAAAATTCTGCAAAAGACATATGGAATATAGAAAGATGAAAACAAGTGCATGTTAAACATTTCCAAAATGTTCCAAGTTTTGGAATGCTAAAATATGTTGGAACATTCAAACATTTCTAAAATGTTTTAGCATTTTTATGCATACAGAAATTTTAATCAGAATATTATAATCCAGGACCCAGAAGTGAATATTGCATGCCCTGGTAGGGGACTGCCAGTCTCCCTTTCCGAATGAGAAAACCTTCATCTTTATTACCTTCCAGTATGTGCTGTCACATCAGAAACTTAAATTTATCTCATATATAAATCTTCCTAGGAAACTTTTTGGGAAAAATACACATTAAAAAAAAAAAAAAAGAAGAATTAATTTGGCAGGGAAATCTGACCCTGTTCTGCGCATGTATGACTATTTGAAGCAGATCATGAGTTTGCAATTTATTATTTTTGATCCTGTCTGCAAAGAAGAAAATGGACTCCTGAGATCTCTTCCAACCTTTCATTTTTGCTATTTTAATATTGGATTGATTCCCAGGCAAATGAATTACTGGATGCAATGCAGGTTAGACACTCCAGGGTACATAATGAATGGGAAGTTTATTATTATTTATATATATAAAATTTGTGCACGTGGCTTTACAATTAGCTCACGGGTTTAACTTCCAGACATGTGTATGCAATAGAAAAGAGAAAAAGCAAGGTTTGTGTCTGCACTCATAAATCCTTTCCACGTAAGATTTGTCTCCTCTTGCTCTGTCCTTGACCGAGTTTTCCCTGCCCATAGTCCCAGGAAGGCACAGGTTTATTTGGGGAATTACTCCTACCCTGCTGTGGTAGAACAAGTCCTATTGCTGTGATTTGCCACAAGTATCGAGGGGAAAAGAGAAAGCCAAGAGCCTACAATATGAGTCCTCCCCTGGTACGCACCTGTAACACACTTCCATGACAGCTCAGCAGATGCCCATCTCCAAGAAGCTCTTTAAGGGCACATAGTACAGCACAGCTGAGCAGGTTTGCCAGCCCTGCTGGCACTCTGGCTGTGCCCAGGTCCTGGCCCAAAGTCTGCTTTCAAGGCATAATCCCCAAAGCATTCAACCACCAAAAAAGTGGTTCCACAGGAGCTGAAGGGGCCTGGGGAAACCAGGCACAGCACTGCTAAAACAGCAGCAGCTGCTGCTCAGCGTGGGTAATTTCCCTTTTCTTTCCCACTGGTAAACCTATTCTAAAGACAACATTCACGATGGGTCTGAGCAGAAGGCTGTGAGTTGGTATTCCTCACCCCCCTCCATCCTGACGCTTCCCCATGGCATGACAGCCCTCCTGAAATCCAAGTGTGTACCTTGATTCAAGATGCCCGAAGAGCGGGTCACCTCTGCAGGTCCCTGTGAGGGCAGGCTGGTGGGCACCTCCAGGTGCACAGGACACTGCCAGGGACAGCAGGTCTGGACAGGGTTCACCCACCTCTGCCTCCTACAACCGTCCTGTCCTGGGCACCAACGGAACAGGCTATGCAGCGTTGGCATAGCCCATGGGTGCTTGGCCCACCTGCCTTGGCAACAAGGGTTACAGGGGTGACATCACCTGCCCTGGCATTCCAGTCCCAGCCAGTGATGGCTCTGATGTCACAGCAGAGTCGAACAGCTCCCAAGCAGGGCAGGACGGGGCTGCACCTTGACTCCCTGGTGACTCCCCCAGGGGGCCCCCCTACCCTCCCAGAGCTCTACTCCCAGTGTTCCCACACACCTCGTTAGCCGAGGGGTGGCTGTTGCTGTGCCTGGTCCTCACAGGGCTCCCCAGACAATGCAGAGCAAAGGCACAGATGCCACCTGAGGGGTAGTGTTATTCAGGACAGGGAAGCGGATCACCTGAGTGTAACTAAGAGCAGTTTCCTTCCTAGGGGAGGGCATGGGGAATGGCAGACAGAAGGGCTGTACCAGCACTGGCAAGTGCAGTGCAGGCACAGGAGAAACAAGAGGAAGGCTGGAGACTGCAGAAGGCCCAGAGTGGGGAGGAAGAGCTCAGGTGAAGCTGATGTCATGGACAAGTGAGGAAAATCGCAGGCAGCACTTCTGCAGCAGTGTGAGTTTGGCACAGCTGGCACTGTGCTGGCACAGCTGGCCCACTGCCAGGAGAGCTCTGGGCCTCTCCTTTTCTGCTTTTCCCCTTCCCTTACAGGGAGCAGTACACCTCTTTAAAAGGCAATTCAAGCCTCTCCTCCTTAGTAGAATAAAGGTAGAGATCATAGAACCACAGAATATCCTAGGTTGTAAGGGAACCACAAGGATCATTGAGACTAACTCCACAGGACAACCCCCAGAAAATCACACCACGTGCCTGAGTTTGTTGTCCAAGCACTTCAGGAGCTGTGGCAGGCTTGGTGCTGATGGGAAGAGGGAAGGCACACTCCGGCTTTGTCTAGAATACCGTTTTAACTCATGTTAATTGCTCCCCAATTAGCCAGAGTTAGCTAACACATTTGTAAACACCAGCCTAGGCACTGCACAAACATTTGTTCTAAGACAGATATGTAAAATAGTTAAGTGGATGCTAAGGCAATTAGGTATAATCTTATTACTTCCCTTTCCCGCATCCCCTTTTCACCCTTTGCTGGAGTGCAGACCTGAGCTCCGTAGCAGAGGACTTTTTTTTCAAAAGGCACTACAAAGGTAAACCTTAGGGCTATCTCATGCAAAACCCTGATAAGGTGCTATTAGTTCCCAGCCAACTTTCAAAGACAGAGTACCATAGGGTTTTATAGCAACAGACATTCAATGCACACAGAATCCACTAAGTAGGTGTAAAAGCCTTCTGAGTTTCTCAATTTTGATTTATATTCTCTTTAAAAAAATCATTAGGCAGTAGATTTTCTGGTGTTCTTTATACAGACAGACCCCTCATCCCCTTTGTTATGGCCGTATATCAAAATGTAAGGTTTCAACGTGACATTCACACTTCTGCTACTTTAGCACGCGCAGCAACACGTTCCCCTCTGATTTTCTTTCAAAGATGCCTTATCAGTCTTTATATATGATCATAATGTGGAGCATATATCAACGGGATTCTTCAGAGCTGGAGAAGAATTGCAATCTCTGAGCGCTTTCACAATCCCATGAGCAAAAAAGCAGGTTAGGGTTTTCCAAATCTAGCTTCCAGCTCCACACACATATCTCCCTCCTCTCACTTGTCAGAAATCTGCAGCTTATATCCAAAGCAGAACAGAAACTGGCATCTGGATGTAAAACATCCATTTCTGCAAGGTTCTTAGGATACAGTGCAACACATTCTTCTCAGTCCAGGTCCGAATAGAGAAGGCAGCCTCTAAATGAGCCACTTTCTGTTTGCTCTTCTGCAGGGCTGGCAAGCAAGCTGCAAAGGGCTCACCATCAACATCCCAGGCTGTGCTTCCCTTAAGACTGAGAGAAACCACCACTCCCTTTTGCAAGCATGCCATTTGGCGTGCTTTGGTTTGGATGACCAAACTTCATCACAGTAAAGTATTTCCTTAACAAGTCAGCTCTCACGTGAATTCAAAATGACACCAATTTCACAGCTAACCCTCCCAGCACAAACAAATTTCAAAATTATTCACAGAAATTTTATAACATTTTCCTTCTGGGTCTGAAAGAGAGAAAGAGTCTTAAAATTCCTATCATCCAATGTTTCAGTCTTATTTCTTGAAATGCCCCAAACTGCTCAATTTCAGGCTGTTTTAGCATTAAGATGCATTTTCCTTTTGTCTTACAAAAGCCTGAGGAAGGTTAAACGCCTCCATTCTTTCGCTAGAGGCTGTGCTATGTAGATCATATCTCCCGTGATTTAACTCTGCTTTGTCAGAAGGAAGCCACCATCATGTACCATTTTGCTCTTTTCTTCAAGTTAAGCTGTCTAGAGAAGATGGCAAAAACGACAATCCCCTAAACCTAATAAAGGAAAAGAAAATTAAATTAGCTTCATCTTTTTTGGAATTAATTAGAAATAAAAAGTTTGAGTCTACTAAAAATGCATACAATTTTGCTTGGGTCAAAACTTGACCCAAATTCCTCTACACTCACTTTAGTAATAACAGCATGGGGGAGGGGAGAAAAACTCTGAGAAATTGTTTTTGCACAAAAAAATTCCAAAACTACTTTAGTTTCAGCTGCCTCTGGGTGTTTGGCAAAACAGCTCACCTGTGTTTTGAGCAAATGATCTTTAGCCTAGATATGCTTGGTCGCACTCACCAGTTTTAGCAATAAGAAATCACTTAATTAATTTGCAGTTTTTTGGTGTTAAAGGAAGATGTCAGTCAGAGCACCTGGAAGAGGCCAGGTTTCTGCTTGCCACGAGGCAGGTAAGCTGTGGATGTTGGTAGCCAGCACTGCCCTGCCTTGCTGAGGGCGCTGGATTGGTAGTGCCAGTCATGATGGGACTGTGCTATGCATGTGCATTCAAGTAAATGAAAGTAATAGGCAGAGCCTACTGTCAAAAGTAAAAACAACAACAAAAAAATAAAGATGAAAGAAAGGGGGAAAAAAAGTGCATTTTTAACCTCATGGCAACTGTCAGAAGTTATCTCAAGTGGAAAAATATCACACTGATAACATACTTTGGTTTTACCACAAGATAAACTTGGTGATGTCAGCCTCAGGCTCAGCTAACTCTAGCTGACCTGACCTAGATTACACTCAAAAAAAACCAAACAACAAAACAACCTGACTTTTCTGTGGTTTTCTGCCTCTGTTAACCACATTACTCTAAAGTAAAAAAGACCTAAAATGCACCAAAGTAATTTCACAAAGCAGACAAAATTCCTTTCAGATCATAACAAGCAACTCCTTTTCCACATCAAATTGAAGCCTGTAACTAAGAAGTCTGCCACCATCCCCATAGACTTCCCTACATTCTCGCAATATTATGAAGCAAAATATTGCCTAGATCAAATCCCCTAACACCAGGATCTACTCTGATGGTTTCTCTGGCAGATCACCAGGGCAAGTGACAGTGTCCCCAGCAGGCTGCAGGTGACACTGACCCCACATATATGGAAGGCCATGATGCTGTACTCAGTACGGATGCATGTTTGAAAGAAGGAGACATTTAGCCTACTGGTCTCAGAAAATTCAAGATACAGCTGGTATGAAAGAGAGGTGGAAAGTGTAGTCTGTGTGTGCCCTGAGACTCAGTGCCCTTGGCCCAGGCGCTGCCTCCAGTGTGGGAAACTGAATGTTGCTTTTGGGAACGAGCAGCAGCTCTGCCATTTACATACATTAATCCTTGGAAGTACAGGAGGCATTATCATTTGCCAGACTTGTCTGCATAATGAGGAACTCTCAAGAGACATTTCTTGGAGAAGTGTTGCCATTAACGTGCGTGTGTGTTACCACGGCATTTCTATTCAGCTCCCAATGCCTTTCTCCCCTCCCCCTCCCACTTACGCCCACACATTGGAAAGGTGAGTTCCCTGCAAGAGCCCCTCGGAGCAGCGCTGTTGGATGGAGCTCATGTGCCACGTTCTCAGAAGGTTTTCAGACCCCCTGACACCCTCCACACCCAGCCCTGCTCACTCAGCCCAAGGGGTTATGCCATGCCATTGACCTACTTCCTCCTTGAGCAAGTACTGGGGCAGGCAAGACTTTTGCCTGGCTAATTCATTGCTGGTGAATAGATATAATTTTCTCAACTCTTTCTCACAGAAGAGGATTGGGCCACACTGGGGTGAGAAGTACTGGGTAAGTAAAGGAATCAAACAAAGACTGTTTTGTAAATGAGATGACCTACACCCTCCTGCAGAAATATAGGGAAGGAAAGTGAAAGAGAGAAAGTAGTTAATGTTTTTGAACTACTGGTGTCCCCTTGAATCTAAGCAGTGGCAGCATGGGCAGCAGAGGAGCTGCTGTGCTACCAACGGGGAGGCTTCTGGCATCACCCTGACTGATGGACCTCAGCTCTCTCTTCTTTCTACAGTCATGTGGTGGCCCAGAGCCCTCCGAGTCTCAACAGAGCATGAGAGCCTATGTTGCCAGGCAGCCTAAATAATGGCCTCTAATGGGTTCGGCAGTGTTTTAAGAGCCTGAAAAATGGTGCAGGAAGCTATCCCCTTCCTCTTCCTCCCCTGCCACTGCCCCTTCCACTAACTCAGATGCATTATTGGGACTGGAAGTGCCAGCAAGCCTCTGCTTTCCCTCAGAGGCTAGCAGCACCAGGGAAGGGAACCACCGCCAGCCAGTCTCACAGGTTTCCCCATTTGTTTTCATTTTGTCACCAGACATTTCTATTTAAGCTGCTTAGAAGGTTATCTCAATAAAAGCCTGCTGGGCTCAAGGATATAGAGGTTGACAGTGAGTATGCCTCCCTCCTTCCTCCTGAACATCACCCTCTTGCCAAAACATCTAGTCATACTGTGAGGGAGATGGGGAGAGCAGGCATGCCCAGAAGCTCTCTTCCCGACTTCCTACCACCTGAGCTGTTGATGGAAACTGAGCTGTTTATGAAGCACAAGTACCCTGCAAACCAGCTCAACAGTTCAGCAGTTAGGGTGCTAAACTGACATCATC